TAAAGACAATATAACTAATGAAATTATTTCTCTTATTTAATTTATTGATAATGAATAATTTTTTTTAATAAAAACATTGTAGATACATAATTCTAAATTAAAGATCGAAATGCATATGTATTATATTTTGTTGTAACTACTAAATTATTATTATTTAATTTAATAAAAGTAAAATAGAGTACTAAATATGCCAACTTTGATTGGGATGGGGTTCGAACTTCGTACTTAATACCTTTCTTATTGAAATCAATGAATAAGTTAACGGTGAACTAACAGAAATTAACGGAAAAGATAATATTTAACGGAAAAGTTAACGGATAATCATATTCATTAAGGATAAATTAGTAAATCTTAAGAAAAAAAATTAAAATCTGATCAATCTGAGCCATTCATTTGATTAAAAAATTTAACCGCCATTTTTTCTACCCATTATAGGCCTAACTCTCTTGGGCTCTTATTAGTATATATATAGTAGAGTATTGTGACATGACTATTTTTGGTCCTCCGTCAACAAAATCGTTAAAATTTCATTAAATAGAAAGATATTTCGATCATTTTTATACAAAGTGAGTTGACCATGCTATATTTTTATGTTTATTTTAAAAAAAATCTGTAATTGAAGACCAAAAATGCCTTTGTATTTAAGGACGTTAAAACTATTTTGTTGATAGATGACCAAAAATGGTCATGACACAATAATACTAGGACCAACTGTGAACGTTCTGATAAAAAAAAAATTGATTGTCGCCTATAAAGCTTAGATCAAAAATGAAATTAACTCTTAAAATAACTAATAATCACAAACTTTTTACTTGGTTTAATATATAACTAGTAATTCACCAGCGCGATGCACGGGAAAAAATTCCGTTATTATAAATATAAATAAAAAATAGAAAAACTAAAATATTTTAAATTTTTTAATATAATAATATTTTTGAGCTTCCATTTGTCTAGTATTTATTATTTTTTATAGAATACAAAATTACAATTAAAATTAAAATTAAAATTTTGTATGGTTAATATAATCTCTAATTATGTGCATATTCAAATAAATTTATAGAGAGAATTTACATAATTACATAGATTTATTCTTAATTGTATTTTATCTATATTATAATTTTCACAATATGAATAATAACTAAGATAATTACATTTGGAAAGCAAATTTCAAATTTTGTATGAGTAAATTTAAACTCTAATTGAACACATTTTTTATATGATTATATAATATATAGCTATTTTATTTTTTAAAAGTACATTTTTTTATATGATTATATAATATATAACTATTTTATTTTTCAAATGTTGTGCTTTTTTTTTTAATAATAAAGAATGTTGTGGCATTAATTCTAACATTAATTACTTCCCAAACCATATAGCTTTATTATTATTACTAGCATTTTATACACGCGATGCGCGAAAACTTATGTCCAATATTAAAATATTGTTAAGTAACAAAATTTAAAAAATTAGTTAAAATTATGTTTCACAATTCCTTAAAGTGATCCAAACAATATATATATATATATATATATATATATATATATATATATATATATATATATATATATATATATATATATATATATATATAATAATAATAATAATAATAATTTACAAATAATACTAAGCTAACACCCACATATATGATATATTGATATGTATACACAAATAATATATATACATATTATTTATAATTAAAATTTAATATTCATATAAATATTTAATTAAAATATAATTTATAATTAAATTAATTGTTATATGATAATTTTAATAAAATGATAACTAAAAATAGGAAAAAGATATGATAGATGTAGGTGTATGGTAAGATTGGTGGACATATTAAATACTAACGGTGTTATAACGGTGTAAGGGTAATTTTGTCCAATACAAATCAAATGTACAACAATTAAAGCAAGATGTATATATTTATTAGCATATAAAAAAGGGGCAAAAATCAAGGACATAACTTGTATTGACACTTATTATGTTTTTACATTATTATTATTATTATTATTATTATTATTATTATTATTATTATTATTATTATTATTATTATTATTATTATTATTATTATTATTATTATTATTATTATTATTATTATTATTACTAGTAGTTGCACCCGTGCGATGCACGACTATATATATAGTATATAGAATATACAGTATAATGTAATTAGATGAAAAAATATATAGTTTGAAAACTTAATAAATTTAAAATAATAAAGTTTGTAATTTTATGATTATTCATGTATTGATTAAAGCTATCTACCACATTCAATGTTGGAGTCAAAATAACACTGTTCTTAAGATATGACAGATCACTTATACCGCGTCGAAACAAATGGAATGTGTTATCAACAATTGCAGCAATAGGATCATCGTCACATTTGAGCAATAAGTGGTCTGGAATTGTAATATCTGCTTCACTATCAGTTGAATTACCAACTACTCCATCACCTATATTAGCTATTCATTTTGCAAACTTTTTAATCTCTTTAGCTTCGACCTCTGATTGTACACCACTTAGGCGTAGATTCTTAGTTAGCCTAAATACTTTACAGGATCTCCAAAAATATGAGGAATTTATGTTTGCCCCAACAATATCTTGACGTGTGCCCTTTAGAATTACTTGTAGAGTTTGCCTGAAATCGCCACAAAAAAAAAACTGTTTTACCACCAAAGGTCATATCATAACTATTCAGATTTCTGGAGCGTAACAAATCCCTCATTGTCAGGTCTAAAGCTTCATAGCAAAATTTGTGCATCATTGGACCTTCATCCCATATTATCAATTGCTTTGCAAAAAATGGAATGTATCCCATAATCAAAACCCAATAAAATGAATATTCTCAGTATATTTTTACATGAAATTATTTTCATCTCCAACCCATTACACCAATGTTATTTTATAATATTTAATAAACACATATACTAAATATAATAAATTCTTGGGTCAAACTTTATTTCTTCCATTCTTTTCTTCTAAATAATCTGACACAAAACTAACCCAATAATGTAGCTCATAACCCGAACCCAATAAAACAATTAATAAAATGTTTTCTCCTAACCCTAAGACTATCTCTAGGCAAATTATTGTGTGGACCATGATCCACATAGTGGTATATGGACCATAAAAGAAAGTACATTTTTAATATATTAAAACGTACATTATTTTTGTACCGAATGTACATTATAAAAATAATATATTTGTAGTATTCAAATAATGTAATTTCTCTAAATACAAAGTACATTTTTAATATTCTAAAAGTACATTATTTTTGTACTAAATATACATTATTTTATAACATACAAAATATGATCCACATAGCTTGTGTGGACTATAGTCCACACAATAACGATTGCCATCTCTGAGCCTCTGCACCAAATTTTACACCATAGAGAATATTTCTTGTATATTCTTATATCATTTTTTATTCTATCTCCAACCCATTACATCAAATTTTATTTCTTTACTAAAACAATTTATTTTTTCATAAATTAAGACTTTGTATTATAACCTTTAATATTTTAAAATAAAATATGATTATAATGTAAATATTATTTTACTCCACAACAATAAATTATAGAACATCCAGTAAACCATTCAAGATTATTACCTCTTCGTTATTGTTAATCTATTAAGTTTAATTTAACAAACTGTCAAAAGTTATTCTTAAACTGTTAACTCTTTTATATTTAAAAATATTGAAAATTTTACCGTTAAATAAGTATATTTCGCAACAAAATGTAAGTTCAAAAATATTTATTTATCATTTTATTTAAAAGTTAATCATAGTTGAATTTAATTATATAAATTAATATAAAATGATTTCAATATATTCGAAACTATTTTAATTTCAATTTCTCAATATAAATAAGAAGGACTGCATGTACGTATTTTGTACATTGGTCTTCTACAACTTTGTTTTAGGATCACTTTAACTTCAATTTTTGCAATTTAAGCTTTTGTAGTTAAACATTTCTCTAGGTTAGATAGTCATAGCCTCTCGATTCACTATGAACAATTAAAAATAGTAAAGGCTCAATAATAGCAAATAAAAGTAATAATATTTATAACATTGCACATAACTAAAATTACATATTATTACAAATTTCTTTGTAAACAACCTTTTTAGTAATGTATAAAAAACCTATGCATTCATCACAAATTAAAACATTAAGACTCTCAGGATTACTCAATAATAAAAGATAAATAACATAAGCATCTACAAAAGTACCATGAGTTAATTGATTTTTTGACAATCCTTTGAACTAATAGTTGCACTCAGTTGTGAATTTTCATTTTCCAGGACAAAAAGAGAGTTGCACTCAGTTGTGAACCGTATATGTATATTTGCTCGGTTTTTTGTTTGCCAACTTTGATTTTTTTTTTTTCCTAATTGAAATTGTGATTCATGCTAACGGACATTATTGTTCATGTTATTTTATATGTGTTGATTTGTATGCCTTTTTTCTTTTGAAGTTATCTTCTTTGAAAACTTTATTTCTAGTTGATGTAGTTATTCTTCAAAATAGGTGCCTACAATTTAGTAAGGTGATTAATCACTGTGTTTGACGATAAAAACTTTAGGCATACCAAAAAAGTAAATCAAAGATATGACATTTTAAATCCAAATATATTACTACAAATTATAAATTTTTTTTTTTTTGTAAAATACTTTTTGTGTAGTGTTTAGATAAACACTGAATCCCAACATATTAAATACCTATGAAATCATCATCATATATATATATATATATATATATATTTTTTTTTTTTGAATGCTACTAGCATCTATTACATTGTAATATCTGTTCATATACTTTCTCAACCTACTGAAATACAAAGAGCCAATAACGCCTCCACTGAGGCTCGAACTTACAACCTTCCAAATGGAAGTTCAACCCGGGTACCATTAGACCACATAGTCCTGGTAAGATCTTATATATTAAAAGAAATGAAGCTTCACAAAAAAAAAAAAAAAAGAAGAAGAAGAAATGAAGCGATGAGGACGAAGGCCAAGACCCTTATCTCCACAGATCTCAGCATTTCGTTTTCGTCGTTCTTCAATGATCTCTCTCTCTTATCATCTACGGACAGATGAGCAAGCGTGGGTATAGACCCTTGTCCTCCGTGTGTAAGGGGTTCATCTCCATCTTCTTCGTTTCCGGACATCAACGCTGGTATCTCTCTCACAGTCTCACTCTTACAACCAAGAATGTCAGCTATGAATTTATCAAATTTTAGGTAGAAAACGCACTAAGTATACTGTTAATTTCTTTCTTTAACTTAGGGTTTTTATGTCTAACTGTGTTCATCATCTCCAAATCTCATATCTGTTTCAAATTAGCTCTACTTTATCGAATTAAGCTTGTTTGTTTTTAGAAAATAAACATCTAGTTCTATTTTTAGTATTAATTTCATAGATCTAAGCTTTGCCCGTAATTTTTTTTCCACAAAATCCACTAAAAATGTTCTAGGGTTACTTTTTTCCGATTAAAACAGATAAAAGTTTTGGTCCTTAAAATTATTAGCCTGATATGTACTTTCTATATGATTTTTGTGTGTTTACTGTTTCTTCTTTGGTTTCGGCCTAAAATAGCAATTTTTCTAACCATTCATTTTACATATTGCTATTGTTGGTCTTCTGTAATTTTGAAGTTTTGAGTAACAGATAAGTGTTTCCATTTTTCGATCTATGATATTTACAATCTGTTAATAAATTATTTTTTTCGTACATATCTGATTTTTTGAACCTTCATTGAACCTAAAAGATGATATCTATTTCTGCAGAAACAGGTTGTAGACAGGTTCTGGAATAAAAAAAAAGCATCAAAAAGCAAGAGAGGATTTTCAGTATTACCTTGGTGAGCTGTTGTATTCTTCCTCCCCACCCAGATGACTATTGATGCAGTTATTTTCGTCATACAGTGAGATAGGGTATTCTACCCTTACTGATTTTGTGTCTACAATTATTTTACATGTATAGCATGTTTAAATATTAACTTCGGTGGTAGAAAATTTCACGGCTATTTGATTAGTTAGAGTATATATACACATACATTTGATGCAATGTATAGCATGGTAATATTTATAATACAAAGCATTACGTGTATGTATGTCTCAATTTGTTTGATAGTCTATACTTTGCTTTTTGCTATGAAAACAGATTTGTGAATATATATGTTTTTCACTTTTCAATTCTTCTGGCAAGTATAGATGACTATTATTTTACATTGATAATGACAATGTATGCTACTTTTGTCCCCATTTAATAATGTAATCATGATCCAAAGTATAATAGATAACATGTTTAAAGTTAGCTAACAATGTTTTTCCAGCATGTTAATTAAATCTTTCTTTATTCCATCGCATCACCATCGTTCCTTGTAAAGTTAGCTACAATCTGCACCTTCCTTCATGGTGCTCAAGTTCCAAAATGGTTTAGTAAAAATGGTTTAGGAACTTATTTTGTAATGTGAAATCAGTTTAGGAACTTGTATTTTATTTTAAGTCAAGTTCCTTGTTATATTTATATTGGATGTCACAATTTGACACCTAGGTAACCTCAATTTACTAAGTCTCTAACAAAATGAATTTCACAGTTACTAAATGTTTATCCTTTGTCAAAATACATGAGTTAATTATTTTTTTTGGATTTTTATTTGCAGGTACAAATTTACTTGCAATCCTGCTAGTATATTTGATGCAATTCCAAAGGTATATGGGGATGCCCTTCATATTAATGTCCTTTAATAAGTTCACATTTTGTAATCCTTTGTTTTATTAAAATATCAGATGGACTTGATGAAAAAAAAATTGCCCATTTTCAGGTCTAATGAAAGTTCACTGCTTTTCAATAAGTAGAAGATACAATATTTTATTGCTGATTCACAAACTGAGTTTGGAGGTAATACAAATGTGACTACAGTACAAATCTCTGTCTCAAAATTGACTTACATATATTCTAATGAATATCTTAATAGTAGTAGATATAGTGTCTAGAAATGTAATTATCTGCGCTATTATGGGTATTCATTATGTGCCTTCTTTCTTTGCATAGTCCATTGCATCTACCATTCTGCAAAAGGTACATGTTAAAGAATTAAGAAAACTGGAACATAGACAATATAAAATAGTTAGCCAAAAATGAATCCAAAATAAAGTTCCATCAGTCACAACTATCCTAACCACTTAGCATCACGTCGTTTAGATTCAAATTCAACCATTATCAAAATCTATGTTTCAAAACCATAAACTACTCAATGACACATGTGACCTTTTCCAGTTTCACAGGCAGTAGCAGAGGCACCTCTTGACTGTACCACTACCATCACCACTCTGTTCCTTAAAGGAATTGCCATTAGTCAACGGACTTTCAGACTCGTCCTCACCATCAAGCAAGAACCCCTAGATTACACCAAAAAATTATTTTTTTGGTTAAGTCTGAAAAATTTAGATCAGAATGCAATACTTTTTCTTTAGTTAAGAAGCTAACCTCATCACTGTCACTGTTATCTTCTGGCTTTAGAATTTTTGAACTCAAATCTTTGCTTTGTGAGTCAAAAATTATCTGGACAGGGGATTGCTAGTAGTGCACTATCCTTCTCAAGTTTGAGAACAGGAAAATCATTTAACTGGTTGTCAAACTGTTTCTTTCTAGCAGCACTTTTAAAGACAAAGGATAGTGTAGTATACTTATTTACCTATGACAAATCAAGTTGATAAATTAGTGGAAGGAATCTAATAGTATTAAACTTATGGGTGTAAATAAGAATATTGTACTTTATGAATGCCTTTTGTAACATTTGATGTGAATTGACTTTGCAGGCTCAATGATTCAAGCTTCAATCCAATTTTCTTACATGTAATTAGGAGAAGGCTTAAAGGTAACAATGATCAGTTCACTTTTTTAATGTACTTATCCAAACTATCTCTAACAATGGTCAAATTCTTTTTCAACTTATACACTTTATTTTATACAAATACTCCATTTTTTGGACATTCTAAACTCACAAATCCTTCAAAAAATAATTCATCTATAGCTTCTTCATGACCTGCAATTATCCAATACATCTTTTTGTAAAATATAAAAATGAAATGAGCAGAAAAAATAGTTGCATCAATGCTCTCAGTATTTGACTTTAGATCATATACTATTCAATTTTTTTAATTTGTATTTTTTTATACTTTAAATTCATGGATGAGTTTTGGATTGAAATGCAGATTTGTTGACTGCCTTGTTCATACTTTTTTTTTTTTTTTTTTTTACAATCATAGAGATTTGAAGGCAGATCCAAAATCATTAAATCACACAGCATGGATATTACCTGGAACACCAGAAATCACACAGCAGACCAATTTTGTAAGTTTATACCTTTCCCATCTCCTTGTGCATCTGCTCCTTCAACCTCCTCAGTATCCTCCTCCACAGAAACGAATAGTCTAATACAAAAAATTAGATAAAGAAATAGAAACCAAACATGAACATATAGTAGTAATTAAACAAAAAAAAAAAACACTGAATAATTAGTAGATAATATAGGTGAGAATAGAAATGTTTCCAGAAAAATGTGTTTTATCAATACTGAGATCACAGGTGTTCTTACCGTAATCTTCAAGCACCTGTGTTTTATCAATACTGAGATGACATAGTATCTTTGTCCAGATTTTTGGTTCTTTGTTTGCATACTTGCAGGTAGTTTGAACTGGAGAGATGGTGAACTTGTGAGTGATTATTGATATCAAGCTTTATATAGAGACTGAAATTTGTTTTTCAATTTTGAATATTGTCTTGGAACTATGAAGGCTGCTGGAAACGTTTCAAGACCCAAGATTACATTCAATAGATAATTTTTTCGAAGCATTTTCTCGTATAGAGATGTGTAACAGCCTTATGTGTATATTTGTATCTTTATATATGTAAATAAATGGCCCGCATGGGTAGCTCAACTGGTCATAGAGGTTAAACTTTGGAAGAATGACCAGGGATCGAGTCTCACCAGCGGCAGTGTGGGAGCAACCTCTCAAAGTGAGGGGGGCTCCTTGTGCGCAGTGGGCACCGGTCTAGCCTCTGTGATTAATGTTTTGAGTCACCATGCCCTTAGGGTTGAGGTTCAGCCTTTTGGAAGAATATATGTAAATAAATGTTAGGGTTGAGGTTTAGCCTTTTGGAAGAATATATGTAAATAAATGTAGATTATAGGTTAGCTTCTCAATGTAGAACTCTTTGACTATTAGAAGTCTATTAATTTACATTGGTAATAGACAATATTAGGCCACAATTAATTCGGCTGTTGAGTTTTCAACTTAAAACAACGCAGTATGCAATGGGTGGGAAACAATGATTGCATAAAAATGCACAACGGCGTTTTATCCAATGGGCGGAAAAAAATGATTGACAAAATTTTCTTGTTTTATTACAGAGTTAGATTATTATTATTATTATTATTATTATTATTATTATTATTATTATTATTATTATAACAAAATTGCTCACAAAGTTTTTGTTTTACCATTTGGTTAGGCGTGAAGCATAATTCAGTCGTGTATAACGATTTTGATGACCATAGAATTTATTTGGTAGAGCTTATGATAGAGTAATGGGTCAAGCAATTGACTCGAACCGCCAACAAATACATGACCCGGTTACAACTAAAAGAGCAACGGGCAGAAGTGCAACGGACAGAATTATTACTGCGGATCATTTACTGTGCCCATTGAAGAAGAGAAATAAAGGCTTAGGCTCCCCATTATTCTTCCAAAAGGTTGAACCCCAACTCTAAGGGCCCCCACACTCCGACCCGACAGAGCATTTGGGAGGGTAGGCTCCCCATTATGATATAACTGTTAGGGGACTTAGTATAAGTAATAGCTCTCCTAGCTTAGCAAGACACGCTGAATTCTGTACTGAAAACTATAGCAATACACTTATCTTTACTAACACATAATAATAATAATATTATCCGGTAACATATTTACCGTCAGCTTATTTAGGAGTTTATAACTTATTTTAAGATATTAATAAGTTATAAACTCTGTTTGGTAATGTTCCCAAAATAAACTCGTAGCTTAAAATAACACCTTATTTTGGAACGCTGCCTACGTTTCAAAATAAACTAGTAGCTTCCTAACTTCTTTTTTTCATCTTTGTCCTTATTATTTTAAAGAAATGACATTCTTTACCCTTTGCAATTAAAATCCTTTTCTGTTCTCCATTATCCGCAACTTTCAGTGCAATTATTATTATACGAATAATAGTAACTAATATTATATTCTTCATTTACTTAACATGTTAAATTATACGAATTACATGAATCTATTTATAAATTAATATGAATACAATAAATATTTTCACATTTGGAGGGAAAATTTTTGGAAATTACATGAATCTATTTATAAATTAATATGAATACAATTAATGTTTTCACATTTGGAGGGAAAATTTTTGGGACAATAATTTTGCTTTAATATATATAGAGATAGAGATCTCTACAAGCAACGTCGTCGTTTTGAGCAAGCCCGAAATATTTATTGTTTTGCGTAGAATGCCGTGAAAAACGATTGGGTTTCCAAGGGATTTCAAAAAAAAACATTTGTTTCTTTTATTTTTTGGGTACAGAATCAATTTCAACCAATCGCTATACAATACAAAGTTTAAAAAAACGTGTTACCTTATCAGTTCCCTAGATTTTAGCTCATCTTTTTTATTTCTAAGCCAATGATATTAAAGTATTGTATTGTATTATTCATACGGAATTTATTTACATAATTAAACCCATTAGCCTGATTCTTTTTTCCAAGGTAATTAATTGCAACTAATCGTTTGAAACCTTTCATTAGTGAATGAAAGGGCAGAAATCAGATCTTAAATCCTATATATACATCATATTCTCTTCAATACAAACACTAACAGGTCTCAATATTCAATACAAACTCTGCCAAGATTAAAGCCCTGCGTATATTGAAGATCTTCTCCCATGAACACAAGCATACGACATACCTGATCGAAAAAGCTTCATCGCAAATCAAAATCAAATCTAAAGAGGTTGTTTCAAGACCAGGAGGTGAGTTTTATGAATAAATAAATACTATTATGATATTTTGTTATTGAATCCTATACTATATCTCATATTCTAACATATACATGGCACCTTCTTGCACGCACACTGCCTATCACAATCACACCTAAACTGTAGTTGTAACACTGCCTATCACCATCTCTAATAATCACTGTATTCTTATACCTACAATATGTGACCTTTTGAAGTTGGGAGATCAAGATTTGTAGTTCCTCTGATGCCCCACAACTTCTATCCAACCAGGAAATTCCAGAATTCTTAGAATTCAGAGAAAGGTATATTTTAAACCATCTATATGTTAACTAAATTATTTCTAAGTTTTCTAAATTACTTCCTAATCTGTGTTTTTATTTTTTGTCTCACAGGCTATGTCATGATCAGACTCCAATGAGGAGTATTATCTCACAATCAAACCTTAGGGAGTGTATTTCTTATTCGGTTTCACTATCTGGGGAAATAGAACTTCGTACCGTTTCTGAAGTCTATCAAGTCTATCAATTGAAGCAGGTAATCTTTCAACTCATTTACAATAAAAACTATACTCGAATAAAAGGTATAATAGAATATCAGAATATATGCATACTTTGGCCTTAATCACCAAAAAGATAAAAAAAAAATCTATTTGTGAGTTGATGTAACCCTGAGTCACATAAAAAAACAAAACATATATGCTTTTAATTTACTCAGGAAACTCCAGAATTCTTTGAATTCAAAGAAAGGTATATTTTAAACCATCTATATGTCAACTAAATTATTTGTAAGTTTTCTAAATTACTCCCTAATCTGTCTTTTTATTCTTTGTCATGGGTTGACTTCAGTTGTGTGACCAATTGAAGGCTTTTATTTCACTAAATAAAAGTTGACAAAACACTAACAATTCAATGCACATGGAGGAGAAGCATATACATAGATGCGAAAGGTATACACTTGATTGTATGCATTTTTACTTTCTTTGATATTTCTGAAGATTGTGCAGGGTGCTGGATGCAGTCTGGCTGAAATTAAGGTTTAAATGAAGAGTTTCACAAGTGTTTAAATGAAGAGTTTCACAAGTACATGAAAGACTAGAAGCACATGAAGAGTTGCAGTTCATCAAAGTGACAAAACAATAACAAGTATAGTACCTACAAAGTAAACAAAGAAGGTCTGACCAGCAGTAGTTGTTGCTGCAAAATTTGGGCTGCAGATTTGGTAAAGATTTGCATCCTCTTTCACTTTTTCTAGAGCAGAAATGGTTTTTTTTTTCTTGGTGCTTGGTGTTGATGTAAATGTGAGCAAATTAAACTGGGATAGAAAAGAGGGAATATAAATGAGTAACACAGATATTGGAAGGGACATGTAACGAGAGTATTTGAACAAACAATAACAGAACATTACCATTGAAATTACATGTTTACTGTATGTATCTTCTTTTTTGTGGGTCTATCCGGACAGTGTAATTCCAACACTCTCATGTATTGCCATATTTTTTATGGAACATCTGCATACAAATAATAGGCATTATAATCTGCATTTTAACTATCATATTGTAATTTTTGAGGTAATTAAAAAATAAAATTGGAATTATTGGAAATCCAATTTATGATTTTTTGTTAAAACATTTATTTACTGAAAGAATGTTTTAAAACCAGTTTCATATAATAGTATTGTTAAATATTACGGAGTATTTAAATTTATGTGTTAAAAGTGATGAACTCAAATTTATTACAAACATTTAAGTAAACCAAGTTGTAAGTTTTCATGGAATGTCAACTCGAATAAACTCTTAACAAAAATGCCATAAGTTCAACAAATGACAGGGTCACTATGTACCGTATCATTCATATTCATAATTTTTTTCCACAATATGCATGCATATAAAAAAATTGATATAAAAAAAGCACATTTTAAATAGAACATTGAACAGAACATAGCTTTTAAGAAAACTAATCATTCGGACCTAAGTATTTGTTCATATACTCATCATTTTTAAAAATCAAAATTACTGCATGTTTATAATCTTCCTAAAATCGAAAAATAGATATCTGTATACAAAACAATATACATTAATAACTGTAAAATCGGAAAAATCTAAGTTTTTACCTTATAGATGTTGTAGTTCCTGTTGGTTGATTTCTTTCAGATCTGTCAGCTCAAATTTTGCCTCAAACCATTTCTTGAGTGGTGTCACTACCTTATGTGTGGTGAACTTTCCAGAATCGTTTGAGAGATGAAATAGGTAGCGTTAGGGTTTTGTTTTGTGTAATCGGTCAGGAGGTGTGATCCGAGTACATAGTAGGGTAGAGATAATGTTTTAGACATGGAAATGGCGAGAAAATGTGATCGAGCTTGAAGCAGATCAAAAAGGGTTAAACTACACCCGCAATGTGTGTCGTGAATTTTCTCGAAGCGGTAGAGAGAGTATGCGCAGGCGAGAACAGAGGAGAGCTGCAAGATTGTCCAAATATTTCTATGTTTTAGGATTTTTATGTGTGGGCTTGGGTTTTGGTTTGAGCCTGTGCTTTCACTGTGGATTGGTAATATATTTCGCCTGCTCATTATCATGTATATATATATATATATATATATATATATATATATATATATATAGTTATATATATATATAGTTATATATATATATAGTTATATACCGGTTTCTTTATGTATACATATATATATATATATTTATTTATACTTATATATATGGATGTAATTTGAAATTATTTTGTTTTTTTTTTGGGTCATATACATAAAATGTATACACATTGATATATGTTTATGTAGGTCTGGTTTGTTATTTATTTAATTCATGATTCATGATATTGTATATCAAATTATAATATTGTATTAATTTTTAAAAATTTTGTTCGGTTTATAGTGAAAATGTTAATTCAAAATTTTATCTTATTTCAATTATATCATTTAACGATTTTTATTTATATTGAAATGATGCAGAAAATATAGATGACAAGTAGCATTGTATTGTTCGTTATGAGGATCATGGTGTGAATGAATGGCATTTCCAGAGAAACATTTCTTGGAGTTTTGGCGCCTTTGTTATGTAGAATATTGCATGTACATAATAATGGTACCTACAATTAGAATGTATATTAGAGTTAATATACTTTTCCATGTTATATAATAATGTAGGCTTGGTTTTGTAGATATTTTTTTTATTCACATAATCAAACCTTATTGGTGAATATTTCATGTACATGTAAATTCTGAATTTTTTTTTTTACAATTTTTTTGTTTTTTTTTTTATTCAACTTCACATGAACTTTTTTATGTTTTATAAATTAATAAGCAATAATAATAATATAAAAAAATAAAAAAAATTATTATTATTATTGTTAATAATAATAGAATAATGGAACAACTATTATTAATAATAATCATATGGATATTATAAAATTTTGCCTATACCACGATATTTACTTTGTAAGTTTACAATATCTTGCGAAATATTCACTTACATGAATATAACAAGTAGTACCGATTTTTGTACACGGTCAGTTGTACGTAGCTGCATCTCGGGTTAACAATCCAGATGGTCTCAAAATATTGATAGTAAAAGACTCAAGTTCAACTACTACATCAACCACTAATGTTGTATATCATGAAGTTTTCAATAATTTGTAATTTTGTAAACTTTTCTTTTTTTTAGTACCATATCATTAATTGCAACTATTTGTAATATATCATTTACATATTGTTTTTGTTGAATTCCAAACATATTTCATTTATATGTTATAAATTATAATCGCATTAGTTCATACAATGTATAACATAACATCCACACAATTAATACTTTTTAATTTACATACCGTGCAGCGCACGGGACAAATACTAGTAGAGATATATAGAGATAGAGATACAAATAGAGATAGTATTATTATTATTATTATTATTATTATTATTATTATTATTATTATTATTATTATTATTATTATTATTATTATTATTATTATAAATAGTAATAGTAATTATTGTAATAATAATAGGATGGTTCCGTGTTTCTGTGTTGTTATTAAGGCTGATTTTACGTTTTGTATTATGATTGATTTAATTAAGATTGATTTAATTTAAATAATTTAATTACAATTATTGAGTTTAATTTAGGATGATTTAATTTAGTTAAGAGTAATTATTTGTAATAATAAATATCTAGGCTGATTTAAATTAAATAATTTAATTAGGGATGATCTAATTTAATTAAGATGATTTAATTTAATTAAGGATGATAATTTGTAATACTAATATATATATATATATATATATATATATATATATATATATATATATAGAGAGAGAGAGAGAGAGAGAGAGAGAGAGAGAGAGAGAGGGTGATTTAATTTAAATAATTTAATTTAATATAAATACTATACTATAATAATAATAATAATAATAATAATAATAATAATAATAATAATAATAATAATAATAACAAACATTATATTCTTCTTTTACTCAACATGTTAAATTACATTAATTTATTTATAAATTGGCTAATTTGTTATTATAGTATAGTATTGTTAGTATTGTTATTAGACTATACTGGCAATGATTATAGGTTTTTTGCCATTTGGATCGGGAAGGAGAATTTGTGCTGCAATTCCCTTGGCGGAGAAAATGCTAATTTATATTTTGGGTTCTCTATTGCACTCCTTTGATTGGCATCTTCCTGCAGGTGAAAAGATGGACTTATCCGATGCATTTGGACTTGTCATCAAGAAAAATACTCCTCTGGTTGTTGTTCCAACACCGAGGTTATCTAATTCTGAGCTTTATCAATAATTTCACAGAAATATGTCCTTTTGTAAATGACATATAGGTGTGCAAAAGTGTCATCATCATTATGTGTGTAATAAAAATGGCGCCGTCTATTTATACTTTACCAGAATAAAAAATAAAAGATTTATAAGCAACAATTCATATATAGCAAATGAATGTTTGTTGAAATGTCTTGTTGCTTATTGTACTTGTCATCCTTTATTTATAAGCTCAGCTAGTTATCAAATCTTTAATATTTCAAATATCTTGTTGTTCTAAAGTTGTTAGTGTTTCAAACTTCTATTGTCTCAATACTCTTGTTGTTTAGTAACTGTTCATTGATTAAAGATTAATCCATATGCACTTGAGCATTTGTTGCGAGAAATTGTCCCTATTTTCCTTAGTCTTAGGTGATTAAACTCAAGCGGTATGTCACCAAACCCCTATTTCACATATGCATTTATATTTATATTTAGTGTGCTTACGTCCTCAAGAGTAAAATAAATATCAGAAGAAAACGCTCCGCATATGTCGAAAAACAGATTGTGATTCCGACGACGATCTCCGATCGTGTTCTCTAATCGTGGCAACCTCTCTTGGTAGTGGCCAAGGGAGTTTCTCCCTAGCAATCTAGGGCTCTTTATATCGATAATGGATTTCCCGGTTTTGGTATGTGCTATTGCTGTGTTGTGTTTATTTCGCCATCCTAGTTTCATCATGGATTTGCGACAAATCGAGGAACGCTGTGCGGATCTGTCAATCGAGGAGGAGGAGATCAATGCTGTGGAGGCCCCGGACATCCAACAGGGACCGGATGCTGCGATCGAAAACAACTTGGTAGGCCGTTTTCTTACAGATCGGCCGATCAAACACGAATTCATGAAACAGGTCATGGCTTCCGTGTGGAGGCCGGTCATGGGAATGCATGTCGCCACACTCGCGGACAACCTTTTCCTTTTTCAGTTCCCTCACCCGAGGGATCTCCAAAGGGTTCTGGACGATGGGCCGTGGACTTTCGAGAACCATTTGTTGATATGTGAGCAGGTCCGGGCGGAGATCAATCCCGAAGAGGTGAAACTGGAGCATATCTCGTTCTGGGTTCAGGTTCACGGGCTGCCAGCGGTTTACGCATCCACTGAGTTCCTGGAACGAATCGGTAATTACGTTGGCACCTTCATCGCCGTTGATCCGATGAATTTTGGAGGATCATGGAGAAGTTATCACCGTATTCGAGTTCGGGTTCCCGTTGAGCATTCCCTGAAGAGGCGGATGAAACTGATACGGAAGGATGGTTCATCGGAATGGATCTCGTTCCGATACGAGAGACTCGGGACGTTCTGTTTTTGCTGTGGAGTCTTAGGTCACTCGGACAAATTATGTCGCCGGGCGTATGAAGAAGGCATTCTCCCGGAGGAGTTTCCGTTCGGCGCATGGATGCGAGCAGGCCCCAGGCGTCAAGTCCGGCCGGTGGGAGCCAAGTGGTTGTTATCATCCCCATCTATGCCATCGACGGGATCGCCAACTGACAGTCCAGGTATGTCGTCTATGGCCCTGACATCTATGGAGGAAGGCGGGGGTTTGCATGGTGATCTCAAGCGCCGCAGAGGGGATACAGAGGCGTTAGTAAATGTGACTGAGGAAGACGTTGCGATGGTGGAAGACCCAAAAAACTTGTTGCCGACGAGTCTGGAGGACCAGGCTCGCCAAGCCAAATGAGTATACTCAGCTGGAACTGCCGGGGAATGGGTGGCACCCGGACAGTTCGTGAAATCTTGAGCCTGGTGTCCAAGCTGCGACCTTTTTTCGTCTTCCTCATGGAGACGAAGGTAACATGTCAGAAAGCAGAGGAGGTACGGGTAAAATTGGGTTTCGAAGGAATGTTGAATGTAGACAGAAGGGGTATGAGTGGTGGTTTGGTGTTGTATTGGATGGATGCAGATGCGGCATCCTTGTTAAGCTATTCTCACAATCACATTGACATGGCGATTTCAATACCGGGACAGACTGCATGGCGGCTAACGTGCTTTTACGGTAATCCAGACAGAGCCGAGAGACACATTTCTTGGAATCGTTTGCGGCAGCTCAAGGACAGATCAACGTTACCTTGGATTGTCGTTGTTGATTTCAACGACATCACGGGTCTATCGGAAAAACGGGGAGTCCATACGCAGCCTGATTATTTGATCGATGGTTTCAACGACGCTCTCGGTGATTGCCAGTTGAACGATTTGGGGATGGTGGATGGCAGGTTTACGTGGAGTCGTGGTAGAGGGACCGCGGCTTGGATGGAGGAGAGGTTAGACAGAGCAGTGGCTACGGTGGAGTGGGCAGAGCTATTTGAAGAGACGCTTGTTCGAAACATTTTCACGCTGAATTCCGATCACAATGCGATCTTCGTCGACAATGAGACGAGACCGGTGCGTGCGGCTAAATGTGAATTTAAGTTCGAGTCGGCATGGTTGTTGGAGGAAGGGTGCGCGAAAGTTGTGGATGAAGCATGGCGACAAACCTCGGGGTTGACATTCCAGCAGAGAATCGCGATTTGTGGCCAGCGATTGGGGAGATGGGGGGTGAGCATTTCCAGAGATTTGGGCATCGCATTCGACTCCTGCGTAGTCGGCTTGAGAGTCTGAATGAAAACCGCACACCTGAGGCGGTTGCGGAGTTCTAGGAAGCGGAAGGGGAATTAAAG